TTTCCCTCTTTCCTCTCTCTCTCTCTCTCTCTCTCTCTTCTCTCGCTCTCCTCTCTCTCTCTCAATCTATCTCTTTCTCTCTCTCTCTCTTCCCCTCTCTCTCTCTCTCTCTCTCTCTCTCTCTCTCTCTCTCTCTCTCTCTCTCTCTCTCTCTCTCTCTCTCTTCCCCCCTCTCTCTCTCTTCCCCCCTTTCTCTCTCTCTCTTCCCCCTCCTCTCTCTCTCTCTCTCTCTCTCTCTGCCCCCTCCTCTCTCTCTCTCTACCCCCTGCTCTCTCTCTCTCTCTCTCCCCACTCTCTTTCTCTCCCTCTCTCTCTCCTCTCTTTCTCTCTTCTCTCCTCTTTCTCTCTTCTCTCTCTCTCTCTTTCTCTCTTTCTCTCTCTCGCTCTCCTTTCTTTCTCCCCTTTCTCTCTCTCCCCTCTTTCCCTTTCTCCTATCTCTCTCTCTCCTCTCTCTCTCTAGCCTCCAGGCTAGTACAGTGGTAACGTGTCGGCCTCTTATCCGAGGGGTCGGCGGTTCGCGCCCCGCCCAGGTGCGAGAAGTTGCAATTGTCGCCTGGGGGTTACTGCTGCGGCTGGGCACCACGGTGGGTGAGGACTAAGCTCACCCGAGTCAGCACCTGCTGACACACTGTTAGCGAGTCGACATTAGTCGGCACAGGCCGGGCTCCCCCATAGCCCGGGCGAGGCTCAGCTTCGCATATCGGACTTATCCTTATCCTTATCTCTCTCCTCTCTCTCTCTCTCGCTCTCGCTCTCCCCTTTCTCTCTCTCCTCTCCTCTCTCTTCTCCCCTTTCTCTCTCTCCTCCCCTTTCTTTCTCCTCTCTTTCCTCTTTTTCCTCTCTCTCCTCTCTCTTTTGTCTCCTCTCTTTCTCTTTCTCTCTATCAATCTATCTATCTCTATTTCTCTCTCCTCTCCTCTCTCTCTATTTCTCTCTCCTCTCCTCTCTTTCTCTCCTCTCCTCTCTGTCTGTCTGTCTCTCTCTCTCTCTCTCTCTCTCTCTCTCTCTCTCTCTCTCTCTCTCTCTCTCTCTCTCTCTCTCTCTCTCTCTCTCTCGCTCTCTCTCTCTCTCGCTCTATCTCTCTCTCGCTCTTCTTTCTCTCTCTCTCTCGCTCTTCTTTCTCTCTCTCTCTCGCTCTTCTTTCTCTCTCTCTCTCGCTCTTCTTTCTCTTCTCTCCTCTCTTCTCCTCTCTTTCCTCTTTCTCTTCTCTCCTCTCTTTCTCTTTCTCCTCTCCTCTCTCTCTCCCTTCTCTCCTCTCTTTTACCTCATTTTCCTCTCTCTTTTGTTTCCTCTCTCTTTCTCTTTCTCTCTATCAATCTATCTATCTCTATCTCTACTTCTCTCTCTCCTCTCCTCTCTCTCTTTCTCTCCTCTCTCTCTCTCTCTCTCTCTCTCTCTCTCTCTCTCTCTCTCTCTCTCTCTCTCTCTCTATTATCTCTCTCTCTCCCTCCCTCTCCTCTCTCTCTCTCTTTCTCTTTCTCTCTCCGTCTTTCCTCTCTCTCTCTCTCTCCTTCTTTCCTCTCTCTCTCTCTCTCTCTCTCTCTTCTCTCTCTCTCCTTTCCTCTCTCTCTCTCCTTTCCTCTCTCTCTCTCTCCTTTCCTCTCTCTCTCTCCTTTCCTCTCTCTCCTCTCCTCTCTCTCTCTCCACTCCTCTCTCTCTCTCCACTCCTCTCCCCTCTCTCTCTCATCTCTCCTCTCCCCTCTCTCTCTCATCTCTCCTCTCCTCTCCTTTCTCTCCACTCCTCTCTCTCTCTCCTCTACCCTCTCTCTCTTATCTCCTCTCTCTCTCATCTCCCCCTCTCTCTCTCCCTCCCTCCCTCTCCTCTCCTCTCTCTCTCATCTCCCCTCTCTCTCTCCCACTTTCGTCTCTATCTCCCCCCTTCTCTCTCTCTATCTCTCACTCTTCCCCCCTCTGTATCTCTCTCTTCCCCCTTTCTCTCTCTCCCTCTCTCCCCCCTTCTCTTTCTCTTCCTTTCTCTCTCTCTCTCCTTTCTCCTCTCACTGTCTCTCTTCTCTCTTTCTGTCTCTCTCCCCTCTCTCTTTCTCTTTCTTTTTCTTTCTCTCTTCTCTCCTCTCTCTCAATAATGATGGTGATGACCGATGATAATAACAATAATAATTATAATGATATTAGTGATAGCAATAACTATTTAGAATTTAAGTTAATTATAGTGATAATAAACCCAAATGATACCCACCATGTTAGACAGCGAGTGAGGACTGCCCTGGAGGCGCCTGCGCGTGAACGAGCGAATCGCCAGTTTCGCTCTTGGGTCGTTTGCCTCGGACGGACCTTCGCGCCGCACACCCACACCCTGCGTCTAATGGTGCCCGACGTATAAGGTAACTTCTTTATTCTGTCTATTAGTAACGTGTCGCGTTATATAGTTGTCATTCGTGCGATGAAATCTGATACTTATCTTTGAATTACAGTAATTTAAAAACCTGGAATTTGCTGAGGGCTCCACCAGTTACACACGTTTTTAATTCATAAACTGGGCGTACTACTACTGTTACTACAGCACTTCCATGTTGCGAGTTAGTTTACCAGAAGTTACAGGTGTACGTTTTAAGCTACCCCCCCCCCCCCCCAGAAAAAAAAATCAGGGCCGAGTACCATTTCTTCGATATCGCACAAAAAAAAATACATATAATAATAATAATAATAATAATAAAATAAAATAACGGGATAAAAAAAACACGGAGACCTTATAACCTTACCGTTTAGAGAATAAAGGACCCTCACACGGGCGCACACGGTATGTAATAAAAGTTAATGTCTCGTGAGCAAATCCCTGCGCGGGAAAAGGAAGGTGACGGGCGCTCTGACAACGGAAATGGCCGCCAGTCTAGAGCCTTAAAGGTATGCCCATTGCAACATATATTTATTCTTACTAATTTTACTGTCTCGAGCCCCTTCCACATTCTCAATCAGGAAAGTCCTTCATTTCTGATTCGACTAATCTCTGTGGTGTCCGTCGTGCAAGGACAGTTTTTTCTTTCTTTCCTTTTCACGAGAATCAGCTGATCAGTGCGTCGCGCGGCAAAATCGTTCATCCTGAGCATTGTGAGCGAAACGCACCGGGCAGAAAAGTTCAAGTGACCCAGGGAATAGCTCTTACGTAAACCAGAGGCCATTTCAAATTGCTTCGCACAGATCGCGTGGAATTCGCATCACGGTTGCTCCATAAAGCGCTGCGCTCCTTATCCGTACCGGCAGTTACAAACACAATGAATTACAGCAAGAAAAGTAATTTGTCAGTTGTTGTTGACAAATGCAGTAATATTTATCTATGTCTAGCACACAAAATGTTTCTAAACACATGCTAACTAGCAGTATACAACACGAAATTCAGGTTAACGATAACAGTTGTCGTACAAGGAAAACTTTCATATTCCTAGATAGTTTCCAGTGCTCCCCTTTAAAATATATTTACAATAGTGTTAGATACATAATTGATATTATCTATATCTATTTATCTGTCCATATATGTCTATCTATTCATCTATCTATAAATGTATCACATACATTAATGAGTTTATAAGTGAGTTTAAAATATAACCCGCATTCATTTGAACGTATGAACGTGTCCTCCATACATCAGCACAGCGAAGGAAATCCCCCCCCCCCCTTTTTTTTCTACTACCCTCTAGCCAGGGGCAAGTGTATTCATATAATACAGACTACATTAACACTTTCGCTGCGTTAACCTAAAGAGCCCGCCGGTGTGTCTGTGCGGCATCAGAATTAAATAATATAATATTTTTGTATTTACACTAACTGCGGATAACACTATTTTTCCTATAAAGATTAGCATAAGAAAGTTCATGTGAAAGAAAAAAAAGTGCAATTTTATCAGCATTTAATCGGTAAAAAATATTTATAAGGATAAATATATGTTGCCAAATGTAAGATAATTCCATTTTCTGTTATTGTGGGTCCCGTTTTCTGTTATTGTGCATTCAACCTGCCTTATTGGAAGCAATGTATATATGTATGTATATATATGTACTTATATATATGTATATATGTATTTACATACGCGCGCGCGCACACACACACACACACACAGTGCAGCTTGATAGCACGGTAGCGTCTTTACCTTGCAATCTTGCAGACCTGCGTTCATTTCATATGTATAAATGTAGATAACACACACACACACACACATTTATATATATATATATATATATATATATATATATATATATATATATATATATGCGTGTGTGTGTGTGTGTGTGTGTGTATATATAAACATAAACACACACACATTTTCACTAATGCAAATACTTACATACTTCATATATATATATATATATATATATATATATATATATATATACATACATATATACATGTATACATGTATACATGTAAACATGTAAACATGTATACATGTATACATGTATACATGTATACATGTATACATATATACATATATACACATTTACATATATACATGTATACATATATATATATATATATATATACATACATATATACATGTATGCATGTATACATGTATACATGTATACATATATACATATATACAAATACATACATATATATACATATGCATATATGTATGTATATATATATATATATATGCATGTATATATGTGTGTATATGCACATATGCATACACAAACACACACACACACACACATATATATATATATATATATATATATATATATATATATACATACATACATACATACATAAACACACACACACACAATTTTCACTAATGCAAACAAAAGCAGACACACGTGTAAATATATAGTCACATACATGCACACTCACGATCAGGAAAATTATATTGTTTTTGTTTTGTTTTTTTGTTTTTTCAGCGAAAACTAGTATTACACCTATGCCCAAACGTAGATCACTCTGAAGGATTGTACTACAATGACAGCCTAGCATGAAAATGTACACTTTTATTACAAAAATAGTTCAGACATGGAAGAAATTTTTTAAAATAACCGATAATTACATCAAATCTGTACAGAGAAAATGAGCCTGGAACATATCGAACACAAATCTTTCAAAAATATACAATGATATCAAGAGAGGTAGAGGAACATGGACTTATAGATAATATAGATAATATCACACAGATCTCGAAATTTGCATGTCAGTACTTCACACGTGTATGGTATACACGGAAACACTCAGGCAGACATAGTGCAATCCCACAGTCAGCGCATTGCCAGTGGGTCATCTGACGCTTCCTCTGTCGCAGTTGTGTGTTTGCACACACGTGACATCTCCGTGGTCTTGGGTTTCTCGGAGTTGCCTCAACAAAACTCGGGAAGTGGCGTTCAGTAAGTCGCAAGAGTTTTGTTACTGGACAAAATGAATGAGGTCTTCACACTTGTTGCTTTCGATATCTGACAAGAAAGGAGGGCCTATTACCTGTTTTGACTAAATACATGTAATATGAGTTTAGTCTTGCCATGTCCACAATGTGAAAAAAGAGTTTTTTATACCATTTGATTGATTTTCTGAGGCTGTCTACACAACTCAAAAGCATATCAGCTTTGTCAATGATACTCATTTTTCGGGTATAGTCAACCACAGCTTCTGGCTTCCTTATTGGCTCACCGGTAGAGTAATCTCTTTTCTCAGTTTGAATAATCTTGTTTTCGTGAATTGATGTTAACATATGGACCATTCGTTTGGCAGACCACTTGAAGCACATCATGTTGTTCTTGTGGCAAGCACTAACTTCCCCCCGGTTGACTGCAGGGAACGAAGGCACCCCTTTTCTGTTTGGTCGAACTGTGCCACAAGCTCCTGTACTGTTTTGCTGCAGGTGTTCAAACAGAATTGGACTGGCGTAATAACTATCTGTGAAAAGATTATGTCCTTTCCCCAGGTATGGTTCTATCAAAGCGTTGACTACCGAACCAGCAAAACCAAATTTTGAGTCAACCTGAACCTCAGTTTGTGCTCCAGTGTATAATATAAAATCCAAGATGATACCTGTCTCAACATCACAAATTAAAAATAATTCTAGGCCGAATCTGTGGCGCTTATTAGGCATATACTGACGGAACGCAAGTCTACCTCTCCACAGCACCAGACTTTCGTCAATGCACAAATCTTGGAAGGGCTTAAATTTCGTTGAAAACTTGTGCCTGATGTCAATCATTACCCTTCCTATCTTTGATAATCTGTGATTCGCATCATTTTGATTGTCACTGAAATGAAGATGACGCAGAATTAGTAAAAATCTATCCCTACTCATTATTGTTCCAAATATTGGTGTTGATATGAGAAAGTCTGTAGATCAATAGTCATTTATCCTATGTTTTTTTACATGAGCCATGGCCATGCACAAACAGAGGAATATTCACATTTCATTTATATCTATTGGTTTCCACTGATGCATTCGGGAACTTGGTGGGTAGACTTCCTTGTTCATCAGATATTCATGATATGTATTTGACTGTTGCACAATGTCGTTGATGAGAGCATTATCAAAAAACTCGAGGAAAAAGTCGAGCTCCTCGGAGTCCTCAGTGACGGAGCAAGTGTTGCTGATCCCTGCATCTTCTTCGAAGGGGAAGAGAACAGGACGGAACTCAGAAAACCTCCATTCATCTGGCTGCTCCAGGACGGGCTCACCTCCATCATCTTGATGTGACGCACCTGTTTCAGGATGTGGTTCTTCGTCACTTTCTATAAATAAGAAGATCACAGTTACTTATGAAAGATCTGGCAGGAAATGTATTTTCAAGTATATTTATTTGAAAGGCAACACGCAATGTGTGTTGATGCCTGAGAACAAGAGAATGTTAGGTAGAAAGTAGAGAACATTTGTAAATATAAGCATTGGAATATTTGCATATGTGTATAAGAGCGTTTGTGTGTTTTTTGTGTTAAAACGGCTGTGTGTGTATTTTGAAGTTATGTGCAAAATTACGTGTATTTGTGCATTAAAACATTTATGTGTGAGTTAGAGATTGTGCTATCAGGGAGTATTTGCATTTATATATTTGTCGGTATGTGTATGAGAGTGGTTGTGTTTCTCAGAGATTTTCAATAACTAAACGTGTAAATTTAAGTGTAATCTATGTGCTTGCGTGATATGGGTTACTCCCGCGATACTTCTATGTACCTATGTTCCCAAATACGATGCGATTCCTTTGTTCCTCGTGCCGATGATCCCCAGAATGTATTAGGTACCGGTGCATCCCGGTATCTATAAGGTACCAAAGATTCCTGGCACCTATATTCCCCGATTCGTATGTTAGCCAGGGGCAAATACTCACTGGTCCCTATGTGCGCTAGATAAGGAAATAAGAACTGGATACCACTTGATGCGTATGTATGAGAATTTCAATATTTTTGATGCTCTTTCTCTCTCTCCTCTCTTTCTCTCTCTCTCCTCTCTCCCCTTCTATCTCTCTTTCTTTATCCCCCTTTCTGTCTCTCTCTCTCTCTCTCTCCCTGTCCCTCTCTCTCTCCCTCCCTCTCTCACTCTCACTCTCTCCCCTTCTATCTCTCTTTCTTTGTCCCCCTTTGTCTCTCTCTCTCCTTTCTCTCTCTCTCTCTCCGCTCTCTCTCTCTCATATCTTTCTTTCCTCTCTCTCTCTCTCTTGTAAGAACGTATGAGAGAGAGAGAGAGTGTAAGAGTGAGAGAGTGCGTAAGGGAGTGAGTGAGTGAGAGAGCAGACAGAGAGAGAGAGAAAGAGAGAGAGAGAAAGAGAGCAAATGGCCCACTGATTATTTACTCAAACTATAAATCAACGCATATTGAACTGTATCTAAAACGTCCAAAAATCGAAGTGAATCAATAAATCAAGTAATCTTCGATTCGTCTCAAAAGAAATCTATGTTGGTGTTGATTTTATATTTCCGGGGACCATCGGCACTGTAGTACATCGGTACTTGGGAACATTAGCATCGGGGTTGTGTGCATCAGTGGATCAGAATGTCTGGACGAAAGTGAATATTTTCAAAATAGCATATGTTCAAGTAATGGCCCACAATAGGTTAGAATATATCGAATAATTCTAATATAATAGATTGTATTACATTCAAGGTCATGTGATATGTAATCTCTAATTACTTCATTTTGGATATTCAAATCTAATATGAGAAATTTATCACGATCAAATTCCACATCTGCGCTAGTGTTCCTTCTATCCCACGAGAACAATTATCGCTTACCTATATTCAATTCATCAGGGTCATCTGCATCAAATTCGTCAGAATCTTCAGAATCTCTCAGGGATTCACGGTCGCTGTCATATAACATCGCGTTCTTCTGTCTCTTCGACATAATTGCAGCGGTAATTAGCGGCTGATTACGCGTTGACCATCCGGAGAGATTTTCCCGCCAAAAGTTTCGTACATTTCTCCCCTCGCGCGAAGGTTTCGAGTAATTTATTCAAAATAAATCTTACCACTATAAAATAATAAAGTCTTAAAACAATGAAGGCAAATGAAAAAAAAAAACACAACAATATATAACACATGCAGAACACAATAATGAAAAAGGAAACATTTTTTAAAAATATAATTTAACGGACGCTCGCTTGAGCCGGCCGTGGGGAGAGTTGCCAAACACCGCTAGACAACAATGCAGCCACTTTCCAAACCCGTTATGCGATTTATAAAAAATAAAATACCTGAAAAATACGAATATAAATGGAATGTTTTACACTTTAGTTCTGAAGGAAATAAAATGATCAAGATGTGCAAATAGACATTAAGTTCTAAATATGGGAAATATGACCGATTAATAGGCAGAATATGTTGCGTTACGTACGCTGTGACGCCAGCACGAGGTGTACGGAAAGCTCCTTCACGGACGGTGTGACACCCGCAGCGAAAGGGTTAAGAACGCGCATGACGTGAGTGAATGCCGGCCAATAAACGGTTTCGTGCACTGGAAGAACACATTATAACGGATTTGTTTAAACCTGTGTTCCCATTTCCCCGTCCATCCCCCTATGTTCTCTTGCCAGTCGTGTGAACTGGGAATCCGGATGCGTTGGAATACCATGCTACATATATTGTGTGTATGTATAGGCCTACATATAAGCGTGTATAGATTCTCATTATCTTCCCGCGTAGCCCTACAACAAGGCTATTGGTAAAGTTGGTCAAAGCTGCATTGGGGCTGGATACTCAAAACAGTTTACAGTGTTGTATCTCACATCGGAGCCATTACAATGTCATACTCGAAAAAAATTAACCGCCAAGTTATGACGTCACACATTGTAAAGTACCTTGTAAGTTACAACTGTTCTGGGGCTCTCGTACGGGTTTGAAACCGGATATAGTGCGGTTTATTTCCCGATTACTTAGTCGACAAAAACCTATATTTAACAGTAACATGCCTTTTCCATATTTAATACCGGGGAATTTCAATTGTCTAGTTTTTTCATTGTTTTTCATGCATTACCATTATCGTAAATCAAATATAAACTGAGTTGACAGACGACAAACAACAATGTTCAGGTAGCTGCTCATCTTCATGATCGAACATTGCACCGTGAGACATTATTATAGCAAATCATTAGTTTCTCTCGATGAAGAGGATAAGCATTTATTGCTATATCACAGATTTCTTAGATTTGTTTTCCAATAAGCTTCTTTGATGGCAAATATGCAACTAAACAATCCTTTCACGAATTATTATTCTCTTTCGTATGTATGTTTACATCAATTTACTTCCACATGAAATAGATTTTTTTTTCTTGTTTAAAAAAAGGTATGTAACAAATTATATGTGACTTCATAAACACATATAGAAAATAATATAGTATATTATGTTTTAAATTTTTGCCTGAAAATGATTACTACGTATTATCATATTCTATTTGTGAATAGAACTTGTATTATGAAAGGTAGAGTTATTCTGGGAAATTCATGTTAGTTTATTTATTTTATAACACTTGGCTGAGTCTTTCAAAAATGTCACTTGGGGAGACAGTCGCTGGGCTTTCCATTGGTTGTCACGTTTTGCAGGCTGACTGCTGATTGGTCAATCGACTCCCAGTCTGCCCTCTCTTGGTAGGCAATGGAATTAACTTACAATGTAAACACGGGCCTTTCAATGTGCTTACTATATTGTAATTATTTTTGAGTATGGGTGGTTTACAATGTAGTAAGGAGATCGGAAGGTACGATGTAATAAAGCGGTTACAACGTCCTCGGCCTTGTAACGGACGGGTAGTTTTGAGTACCCGGCCCTGGCAGATAACCAAACCTATGGGGACCTGTAGCATATGTGGCATATCACTTATTGTCCTGAGGGTTCGTTTGAGTGTGTTTATGATAAACACCAAAATTCTCGTCACCAATTTGTTTAATTTTATTTTATTAGAGGATTAAATCAGATGAATATTGTGATAAAATGTGAGCAAAATAACCGTTACAACCTAAACGAATGTATATATGCAATGTGTTGAGTTGTTTGTATGTTCAGAAGTTCACTTGAAATCGGAAAATTATACCTGATAGCAAAGCGAGTCCATCATGTGTGTGTGTATGTGTATGAGAGAGAGAGAGAGAGCGAGAGCGCGTTTGCGTGTGTGCAGAGAGAGAAAGCGAGGATTATAGAGGGAAAAATAACAAGATTAAGAGAGAGAGAGAGAGAGAGCAGGAAGGGAAGGCATAGAGAGGTGGACGAAAAGAAAATTGAACTTAATTCAGTAGCGAAGCCAATTCTCTCTCTCTCCCCCTCCCTCCCTCTCTCACTCCCCCTCCCTCCCTCTCTCACTCCCCCCCTCCCTCTCTCTCTCCCCCTCTCTCTCTCTCTCTCTCTCTCTCTCTCTCTCTCTCTCTCTCTCTCTCTCTCTCTCTCCTCTCCCTCTCCCTCTCCCTCTCCCTCTCCCTCTCTCTCTCTCTCTCTCTCTCTCTCTCCCTCTCTCCCTCTCTCCCTCTTTCGACCTCCCTCTCCATTTCTCTCTCTCCCTCTCCCTCCCTCCATTGTTTAGATTATAAAGCAGGAAATTATATCAAAATAATAATAACAATAATTTTTAAAAATGTATTTTTCCAGTATCATCTGACCATCACGCGGTACCTTCCAGAGTCGTGGTTCGTGATTGGTCGGCCCTTCTGCGTCGCGGCGCGTGATTGGTCGGCCCTTCTGCGTCGCGGCGCGTGATTGGTCGGCCCTTCTGCGTCGCGGCG